GCTTAATTTATAGAGTGCGGACTATACTTTCGATGTACATTTCACTTCTGTGCATACAACTTCTTGTTCTATCACCAAAAACAAATAATTACATCAAACGAATTGAAAGACAAATAATAACGTCATCAAGGGTTTGAAATATGACATCAACATGGCACGCCACGCAAATAAGGCGAGAACATATATGCGACCCAAATATGGAAATAATAAGACGATATATTAGCATAAAATGATATATACATTAATCACAGTACAATTCATCTTTGAAACTGAAACTAACATAGTATAAGATTTGGTCACTGAACTCACAGATCTTTCATTTTAGATTATTGATTTTATGGTAGGCTTGGTTCGAAGGACCAATCGAGTACTTCCCCTAGTGTCAAATATCCGATTTTTGTCGGCGAACGAGCTACCTATGCACACGTCTCGTTGAGTAAATTAGTTCAGTTCTTCAAATGTAAATGTGTTTTTCAACTAGGAATGATATAATCAGGACATTGCACGTATACGTGTTTGCGCACTTTGACGATAGTTTGTATTTATGTTGACATGGAATGATGTTAATTTACCCTAGGGGTTTGGTTACAAAACCATTTGACGCACGATAATGCACTAAGTGCTAGAGGGTGGGATTTGCATCTCTCATTATACGGCTTAACCTGAGCTAACAATGCTCTCTGAGGGTCGACAAAACTATAAAATATATATATACGCCATTTCATTTTATTTCTGATGCCTTGTATGCTTCATGATGCGCTTGCGCAGTTATCCATGCTTCATATAATGTCCGATCATTACTGTGTGAAATATAGGTATTTATCCTAAATGCCAGTTTCGCGTGATAAAGTACTATTTTTTTGCAATTACTGTGAATGCAAATGATTCGAGTTGTCTACGATATCAGACAAACTACGTTTTACGGACGCCTACAGTTTTCAATTCTTCCGACTGTAACTTGGTAGTACACGTACTACGCTCGGTAATTCAACGATGGCTGTGTCATTATGGCGGACAGCATTCACTCAAAAATTGGCAAAAATGTGTCTTAGGAACTGTACGCATTTTGAAGTTACAACAAATAGTGTAACTACAGAAGGGTAAGTTGTTTGTTAGCCGTGTTCAAATGTAAAATGTATTTTTTTGTGATTTGATCGTCGAATGTGCTTTTCAAAAATGCCCATAATAAAGTTAGTTCAGTTTGTATGAGGTTTTTTTTCTTTTTCGCAAAATAAAACTGATTATAACTGACTAAAATCCCGATAATTTCCAGGAGCGACGTCATCGGGACTCAGAACCCCAACCTCCCTCCCACCCACACTCGCACTTCAGGCTCGCTCTAGGTGCTTCACAATGAAGTTGACAAGCCCCTGTGGTTAGATCGCTTAATCTGATACTCAATGTCCGGTTTCATGATGAAATATAGGCACCCACCATTCAACTGACATTAGACGTGTAATCCCTTGGTGAAATATAGGCATTCACTTTTCAACTAATGCTCAATTTCATCACCCTTGTGTGGAGTATAATTACCCTTTTGTAAATTAATGTATGATATATCAATCTTTTGGGACACATTCACCCAATCAACCGGTGTATGATGTATAGGCAATAGTATCCTCCCTCAACCCAATCAATGCTGTCAACTTCCCTGGAGAAATACACATAACCTCGATTCAATTAAAACTTAAGGTCTATTCTCTGGAGGTCATATATGTTTCTAATTGTCGGTGCATTTCTGGCTCTGTCTCTCATCTATGATATCGGTATTACCTATACGGACTCTTGTCAGATGCCAAATAGCTACAGCAATGGTGGAATTTCACTGCTATCCATGCAAGTAAGGAATATCTGTGATACCGGGGTGTATATTCAATGCCAACTGTTGTGATGTAAGATATATATACGACAAGTAAGTAATAATACTTTTCTACTATGCATCATACGCCTAGGGTTTCCGACCATGTGGCCACTAGTATCTGTAGAAATTGTATCGATTTCGGAAATTAAAAAAAAAAGGTTTTTAGCATCTTTATAACATAATTAGTATCAGCTGTGTCACAAAAGGTGTAGTAGAGTCACGTCTGTCTTAGCATTCTTCAATTGTTTTGCAGTACAAATCGAGTCCGTGGTGTTTTGTCCTTCGTTTGCAACGCGTCGACAATTGACAAATACGCAAAAAACTTGTGATGTTGAGGCTTGGATTATGTATTTCTTATCGCTACACAGAATAAAACTAGACCATGACGCGTTTCACTATTGTTCCGTTTATGGCCGCTGGTCGGCAACAGTCTACGGTCAACTGCAACAGTTTACGGAAATAGGGATTTGGAAAATGCAAACTACTACATCGCATTAATTTACATTATATTTTGCATCCACATCTGTCCAGCAATTCCATTGAACGCGCAGGTATATCCACGCTACAATCAAAGTGTGGAAAGAGTTATTTTCTCAATACTAAGTAAATTGTTTGTATGCCGTGAATAATGAACGCATCTAGTTCAGAGAGAAACAGAATAATCTGCTGCAAAATCAACTGTATCGTGCTATCATGATCACAACGCGACATCACTGGAAATGAAAAATGAAATATCTTTATGAGATTTTCCTTGGAGGAAGAAATGAGAAATATTTCACCCTATCATAACTTAAAGGATAATTCTTGGAATAATGATATAGGCGGCTCATGTTCATACGGAATGTTTATGACTATAGCATTTCACGCTGTTCACAGTGACACTAAACATGTGGTTTAATGATATACCCCTAGGGTAGGTTCTCATCAGCTTGGATCTAGTAAGACAAGAGTAGTTCACAATTTGCCAAATCTGATGGGCACGTGTTTTACCATGTATGATTATGTATTCGCTTGATACTGCTATTATTCTAGTCATTGTGTCACACTAGGAGAAAATTAATGTTGAAAGTTATGATGGTAGAGATTGTTCATAGGATCTTGGAGAGTTCCCCAGATCTATCTGGCATCGTGAGCTACGCCTATCATCTTTACATTATATGGAGAACTGGCCAGGCACAGTTCAAAAGTATGAGTCAGCTGGTAATATTGACCCATATCATTTTAGTTGAATATTTGATTTTCCGTACAAATTAAAGTTGATTTCTGTTGGCAATTGAAGTGGCGTCGTTTTCTACATGTGTTAAATGCACATCATAATTCTATCAACATCGCTTCATCTCTGTTCAATTTCAACGTGTAATCTTATCAATCCGCTTTAAATAGATGTAGTTAACGTAGTTATCGTGTCTTGGCTCCAAGCAAACGTTTTTGGTTTACTATGTTTTATCATTACTCCAGTTATAGCTAGAAATTTAGAATATCAGCCTAATATAATTAAATAATAACAATATTCAGGATATTCAAAAGTTCGAAAGGTCCATTTAAATATTTCAAATAAGAGGTTTGGTTCAAATATTTTAAATATCACCTAACATGAAACAAATGACAACTGATTATGTGTTAAAATGTGTTTTGGTTACTGACGTACTTAAATAGTTACAATGTTGCATGTGTTATGTGAATGCTAATCACATGTTAATGTATTTCTCAAAACCCAGCACTAGAGGGGATTGGAACTAGTACACATTGTCAAACGCTAATATACAAATATAACTATAATATTATACATGCACATACAGTCTATATTTCAAACCTATGAAAAAATGACGGGATCGTGTTATGTTTAATTTACTTTGAAAGTCTTTGCTTTCGAAGTGAATTGTGTTATTTGTATATAGTATGTTTTAAAAGATTGTCACATTTTGCAAAACAATTCTGGGCTTGAAAGCGTAATGACGTAGGGGAATCAATCATGGTGAGATGTGAATAATGACCAGTCGTTTTAATAGAGGATAAAGAATAATTAAGAATTAAAATAACTCATAATTTCTAATTTCATATAAGACAATTATTTTATATCTGGCTTGATTTCAATTTCAATTTATAATTTCTTTTTTCCAGTCATATATTGAAATTTACGTGGCCGCTATCGGTCATTGAGACTGCGCCAATCTCGTTATGTGGGAAATAAACATCAAATGCCACGTGTGTTAATATAAGTTACTACAAATAGTTAAAAGCAAATTGCGATTGGAATTTAAATCTAGTCATATCAAATTGAGAGTTACGATCGATTGAATCACATTTTTATTTTTTTATTAAAACCAGCGTTACTGTGAATGACCATGAACCTAATAACATTGTAAATTCTCTTTTTGTTCAGAATAATTTAAGGTAGCTTCACGGGAAAACGAGTTAAACATTGATCTGTGATTAGGACATTCCTTCCTAAACATATATACTTACTATAACAACCTATACATCATCTGAAAGCTTAGATATGAGCGAACATGATAGTGAATATGCCGAAACAATGGTTATATACAGGATTACCGTACGACCTTACATTTCCATTATTGTACGACGTTTTTTGTCACTTTCAGTCACCAGTGAATTGTACAGGTAGCACGTAATGCTGTGGGCTGTTTTCCGGTATGTGTATTTTTTTTAGCTACGCCGAAAAACTATTGCTGCCACAAGCTTTCAACTGATGTACAGATTGTAATAGTAGCATGCATTTGAAGAATGTTTGAATCACATATTACTTTTAACGTGTTTTATTCCTGTTGTAAATTAAGAGAAAGTGTATAATTTCTAGGATTAAGTATTCCGTTGACGGAAGGAAAACTTTTGTATTACCTTAATACAAATAATAGTTAAGCATGTGGCACAACACCCTGGACGCAAAAAAAACAAAAAATCAAACAAATAAATACGTACCGGTGGGTTCAACTAAACAAGTACTGAAATATTGTCATTTGGGTTGACAAAGCCAGCAAATGCATTTAGGCACTACGTACGCTGTGCTCAAAAATACAACCTACCTCTATCACTGTGCTGGAAATATACTCTTGGTTCTTGGTGTTTCGCTGTGCTGGTCCTCTGTGGCGTAAATGCTTGATATACAATCCGAAAACACCCAATCAGGATTCTGTTCGTCCAATAACAAATGAGAATTAATATTAATTAATATTCAAAAATTGATACGTTATGAGTATCAATCTGTGTGATACTCGTTTTACAAGCTGTTGCATTAATATATTCGAAAGTGAACAGTCGCCAAAGATGATTTACCGCCACTTTTTGCGAGGGTTTATATCCTTTATATTTTAGTGATCAATTACGTAATTCATGAATTAATTTGGCAGGAAACAACTTACAGCGAGAGAGATCATACTTCCGAAACTGTTCTTCTTTTTATAATACCAATAAGGAACAAAAAACAGAAGAAAGAAACTTGGCGACAACTAATATATTACTAAATCACAGCCAAATCGATTTCAACTCAATTGGTGACGTGTGGCTAATTGGCTAAATAACTCACAATATGTGGCGGGATATACTAACATGCGTAATTGCGTGTCAAGCATGAAAATATGCACGTCTCTCAGAGTGTAATCTTTTAGACAATCACCTGTTGTGCGTGTTAAGGAGTGTTAACTCAACATGTCGAATGTTACAACGGATTTGCTAATTAACTATTTATTTTGTTTCAATCAGACATTCATTTCCGGATTGAGTACCTGTTGCTGGGAGCTTGGGTGAGAGGAAATGCTGGACACTAATAAACAGTTAACACCAGTATATGAATACCATAGATATTCCATGTTTAAAAAGTACATATTGTCTTCATGCGAATCCCGATTAGAGTTGGAATAAAAAAAACACGGAGATTTTGCGGTCAATGTGAATTGTCTCGGTAATGACTGTTGTCACTTGTATCAATGCCCCAAAACAAAAGTTTGGCTAGATTTTGTGAAGTATGACTTGGAGACTGAAATGCATGTACATTACAAAAAGCATTTCATAAGAAATGACGTTTGTGTAAATAGAAAAATAGTAGTGATTATGCCCTTCCGCAAGATTAAAATTTCCCCTTTCTAGCGTCCGGGCAAATGTTTTTTTGTGTCCCCGAAATAATTTACTTGCTAATGTGTTTATGCGAGACGCATTGCAGTCGATACAAATTGATTGCAATCGTATTTTTCCCTAACAAAACAGTTTTCGATGTGGTCTTAACGAAAACTGTCCACATTTTTTTCCGTTTATCCAGGGTGAAAATAGATACAGCTAAAAATAACAGTCCGACGTTAAATAAAAAAAACAATAATTTAAAATAATAGGCAAGTAATCTTCATTTAAAAACTCCGCAACGTAGATTGGTAATATGGAAAAATGAGAACGATGTCGTCAGTAACGTGAAGCTGTCACCCTACTAGTGATTAATTGATTTATCAAGTCAACTTACGTATTATAGAACTATCAAGCATCGGTAATTAATGATGTTTTTTTGTTTTTCAAGTGGGTGGTCATGACATGTAAGTTAACATTTCACCCACAGTTCGTGCGAATTCCTGTTGATCACGTCACATCTGGCCTGTCACTTAAGTGTATATTTGAAAATGTACAATTTGCCGATTTTTCTTTGTTATTGTTGGATTCATTTTACGTTATATCCTATTTATTCTGTCAGTGGATTGCTTGCGCGTACGCCATCATTCGTAACATGCCTAAACAAAATACCATCATTGTTCATAATGTGAGTACTTTCTAATTATACGTCTTGTCTAATTGACTGAATGTAGCGCAAAGTTGCTAGATACGATATGTGAAATTATCGTCTCCTAATATTGTGCATGGGTATCAGTGACAATAGAGTTTAATTATTTGTAAATTGTGCACGCAGCCTTGACGACGACAGTACCCAATTTATTTCCGTGTATCTGCATGGGCACGAAATTTAACTAGGAATAACTTTCTGACATTAATTGAAAAAAAAATCACCAATACACCACATTCATTCTGATGTTGATCTTAGTCTGTATTATTCAACTTTGATATACGTGGAATTCTAAGTTTAATAATGGTTCACTCTTTTCGAATCTCCCAACATCCATAGTCTTGGTAATGTAATTTATTTCCCATTCATTTTTGATTGGGTGTGACGATATTTCTACTCTAGTTTGTTGAGCCTTATTCTTGTTGAAACTGTCACTGATCAATTCGCATATCCTGTTAATTGAGAACTCGAAATACTACTTAAACACGCTGCAGTACAAAATGGTTTAGTGATATGAGTAGAGACCAGACACTATAATGGCATGTCGGTTTTCAAGTGCCTGTTTAATTTAGTGAGTAACTTGAGGCTACAATGTTTCCATGCCGATATCAACGCATACTGAAAAAAAGCAATCTTTAAAATATACTCCACAAGTTGGGATGCGCCGGGCTGGCAATGTATTAGTAGTTGGAATGACTGCCAAAACTACTGTGGGTTCCGGTGGA